ATTATATATACGGTACATACACCAAAATAACATTTTTTACAATTTTTGTCTGTCTGTTTGTTCCGGCTAATCTCTGAAATGGCTGGATCGATTTTGAAGGGACTTTTATTGACAGGTAGCTGATGTAATAAGGAGCTACTTAGGCTACTTTTATTTTGGAAAAAATATTTTATTTTAGAAAAAAAAAAACTAAAAGTTAACGCGGACGAAGTCTCGTTATTTAATTCTGATTTGTTGTTATAGCGGCTGCAAAAATTCATAGTCTGTAAAAAAATCAACGGTCTAGCTATCACGACTCATGAGATACAACAGCCTCGTGACAGACGGACTGTAGAGTCTTAGTTTAGTGAAAGTTACTAAAAGTACCTAGTATTTTACTGCAAACTTCTGTGAGGAGAAGTTTTGCGTCCTTAACGGGGGTTCCAATTCGAGAGGAAAATCCGTTGTCATTATCTTCTGTGTCATCTCCAGCAGTTTGAATACGAGCATTTTTACTCCAGTCATGGATGTTTAATATGTATTTCTATAAAAATATACTTATATATGTACAGTATATGTATTCTGTCCGTTACCCTAGTATACCATAACACAAGCCTTATAGGGCTTACTTTGGGGCTAGGCTAATTGGTGTAAATGTTGGAAATATTTATTATTATATATAGTGTCTTGTCGTATCTGTACTGATTTCTAAAACTCATATATCGTTGTCAATATAAGTACCTATAAATACTACTTATAGTATCAAATACTAATAAAAAGTTTCAGCAATAACTATTAGGAAATCTAAAGCAACGTAGTAACGTAGGTATGTTTTATTTTATTTCAATGATTTTATTGATGTGTACTAAAAACTATTTAAATATTGAATTCCGGAAACGTAAAAGACTGCGGTACCAGTTAGATAAATAACAGCACAGTTGATATACCTAGTCGATATAATTTCTATACTTAGATGTTAAGTAAAACCGGACTACACCGTGACCGTGTTGCGACAATATCGAAAGTGAAAACTATAGCTTCAATTTCTACAATAAATTAACCGGATTAAGTCAATAAAAGCAATCTATGCAAAAAAAATACAGGCACGCATAATTCTAGGCTACTTTTTCTAAGGCTTGGTTAATAAACTACATATTAACTTATTTTTAATTTATGTTGCTGTGTTAGTTTATTACTTTTATTGCAATGAGAATAAGGCGGGGCTTAATAGGCTTAGGCTCGAAATTGGTACTTCTAAATATTTTAACACTTCTATGATTTTTATTATGTGCATTTTATTTTTAAAGTGACAACATAATATTTGTACATATTTCAAGTATCTACCTGTTGCCGTTATTAATAAAGAGCAAAAAATGTTGTATAGGAGCCCTTAATTTTTTTTAAATATTTGTTGCTGTAGCGGCAAGAAAAACAAACACATCATGTATTAAAATTTAAATTGTTTTATTACGGTTCATGAGATACATGCCTGGTGACAGATAGACAGACGTACAGATAGACGGACAGCGGAGTTTTAGTAATAGGGTCCCGTTTTTACGCTTGGGTACGGAACCCAAAAAAACACGGACAATATGTACATACTATTATGCCATACCTCATATTCGAGGCTACATAAAAAGCATATCACGGATGATATGCTTTCAGTGCTGTTTGAGAATTGTTTATTCTAGACAAACGCTATAAGGCATACCCAAATGTATTGATTTTGTTACACAATTTATCAACATGAACTATTAAACTATGTCCATGTACAGACAGGGGTTATCTTCTATACCTGGAAACGTCATTTGACTAGTTTCTGCAATTGTTTTGCTGACAAAAGTAACATGTTCCGCTTTTTTGCACCTTTATTAGTAAGTTCAACGATTTAAGTTTCTCTATATTTACACTTAGGTTGTTACATTTTGTTTAGTTAATAATGTCACTCACAGTTGAATTAATTATGTCATTCAGATTTTTGAAAGATTTGTTTCGTAAAACAACTGCAATGTCATCTGCATATAGTGAGCAAATTTTATTTTTGGCAGATCGTTAATGTAAAATAGAAATAGCAAAGGGCCCATTATAGTGCCCTGTGGTACGCTAACATTATTAGGAATTAAACTTGAATTTTAATCCTTTAACAGAGAATTACTATTAAGTTAATTTAGTTCTATGAATTGAGCTCGACCAGTAAGATAACTTTTAACTCGATACCTCCACGCGTTCCCAAGATTAAGGGGCTTGCTTGACATACCGACGGACAGACGGACCACAAAATAATACTTTAAGATTTTGTTTTGAAAAAAAAAACCAGAAAACATTTACATTTCAGTTGTTGAGTTCATCCTTTAGATATAAGGGTTCCATTTTTTCCCCATTGTGGAACGGAACCCTAAAAGTAAAGCCACCCTTTAAGCTATATCATGCAATTTGTAATTTCGATACACGTACAATGCTAAACGAATCTTTTTCAATAATGGTGTAAGAGAGAACCCCGAGGTATGGCTACTTAAGCGATGCAGCGCCACCGTGAGCAATAAATCTTTCCTCGGAAGCTTAAAGAATTGAAGGATTTTCCGCGATAGTGAAGATGGTGTACACAGCCATGCTTTCTTTACTTTATTTTAAGTGAAAATGTGAGAAATTAAAATCGAAATTTATTTAAATAAGTGAGCCGCCGCTGAGCGCTTGGCAGCAGATGATACAATAAGAAGAACAAATAAAACTTAAACACTAATAATATGTCGGAGCCTTGAGATCGAAGACTGAACCACAATATTAACTTTAGTCTCTGAGTTAGCCCCACCACATATATGATCCACACCATAGATATATTAAATGAAAAAATTCAAGAAAAAGAGTGGCATCTTATAAAAATATAAGGGAAATTAGGTAAGGCTCGTGGTTTCCCATTCCAAATTTGAATTAGAGCAAGAAATAACGTCCATTTTCCAGATGAGTGCAGTCAAATAAATAACACTATTCAGAAAGGTTGTAATCCTTGAGGCGAGGTCGCTAGTCCCCCTGGGATTGCGTACCTCCTAGTTTCATAACCGTGAAACACACACAGAGCTAATGCTACAAACTATAGAATGTTACGTTTACTATTCGAATTCGATCTCGATACGCGTCAAACAAGTTTGTATGTGTCGAAATTGGAAATTATAAGGACTCGAACATTATTCTCGAATTAATTAGAACACGCCACAAGGGACGTATCGTGAATTAAAAATCTTCCTTAAAAACTCATTAAACTATTCGAATTCTATAATAGACGTGCCAAAAATGCTAAGTGATAAGATAGGTGTGTTTTAAGATAACGCAGGAATTCAGCTCTATTTTTAATAATTTGAAATATACAAATAAATTGTAATTAATTAATTCTAAATGCCATTATGTCATATTTTGTTGAATAAAATTCTGTTCTCATTATACATTCGGATAATAACTTAACCTATGATTGGATATTTGCGTACAGCCTTTCTGTATATTTGTCTACCTCAGTTTTAATCAGGATTCAGGTAGGTATTATTATTTGTGTAGGAGAGTCATTTATTAAAATCATTGATACCCATGATACATTTATACGAATTATCTGTGTATATGATTGTGCTCGATTACATTACATTTCTTGTTTCCACTTGGATAACATTGTTCGGTTTTAAAAATATACTATTTGAAGCTTGGTAGATAGGTGAATCCGGTTTTTATAGGAAGGTACGTATAATATACGCTATTGGATCATATACGTTTAAAGCACTATTACGGAATAAAAATAATGAGACACTTATTCTTCTAGAAATAAAAACGCTTTACTTAACTATATGTTTTCCGACGAACCTAATTAAAGAATAAGATGGTTCTAAACACAGTGTCTTCATAACAGATCGAATAAAAAATTACCAAGAACCATAATTTTCACTTAGGAAAAACATAAAATAGTGCCTTAAATAAAATAATTAGTTAATTTTGATGTAGATGAATGATGTAGTGAAATAAATAATATACAGCAATCAATGAAATTGCACGTGTAATTGAAAATCTGCGACTTCAATTTTACACGAAATTTACGTGGATACCGGGACATAGTACACTCATGGAAATCGATAAGCGGTGAGGGTCCCTCCGTCCATGGTAAACAAGTCATTAATTTGGGAGTTCTAAATTGCGAACAAAAACATTTGCCGACTAGAACTCCGGTCAAGTTTAGCCGACGAAAAACTTACATCAGACGCGGCGAGTCGGTGAAAAAAGTCGACTTCCGTGCACGGTCCATTTCTCTCGGATCGTGGTCAGCGAGTGTCATTTTATTTTCACTGACAAAATGTTGGTAATGCTGTAGGTGGTGCGATGTTGCACAACTTTACGTTTAAGATTTTTCTTATGATTCCTGTTGGTGCTTATGTCACCGGTGGATGGTTTCCTGATGCGACCAATAAGGCAGCGATAGATTTCCTGTCCATGATATAAGTTACCAATGGACATCAGTAGAATTATCAAACATGATATGTGATGCAAGATGATAGGAATTATGACGTGTAAATAAATCTAGAAATCATGACATACACGTACAATTAAATAATAAGAATCTCTAATTTTAGTACTCTAAGCAGTATACTCATAAATGTGACATGTGTTTTTTTTGTATACCAATTTCTTATTGATTAGTATTTATGCCTATACTTTCACTGAACAAGTACGTAGTAGAATAAATTTGAAATTATGTTTTCGTAAATTTTAACCACAAATTGGGCACATAATTTACTTCTTATATCTAACACTTCTGTTATGTTGTTGTGACATACTTTATTCTAAAATTGAGATTATGCAACGTCCTCAATAGTTTTAGTTCCTTTTTCAATCGGAAAGAGTTTATTTAGGCGCTGTGGCGACGGTCCAATTACACTCAAATCTTTTTTGCTTATTCTCTTTTCTTGTTTGTATATTCGATTCGACCTTAATGGATATAACTGTTACCAAATTGTTGGATAATGACGATTGTTTTTTTTCTCTTTCAGATTTTGCCACTTGTAATTTCTACAACTGCAATCAGAGTCCCTGTTGATACTAAAGACGGCGCCGCATCAACTCAACTATCGAATAGTACAACTCAGTCAGAGCAACATCCAATATATTATGAGACAGATGGAGAAGATCACGTAGACAGTTATCTTATCCCGCCTAGTCCTCACAAAGAGGAAGAAGTATTACCTGATTCAATAGTCACACCAGCAAGTTATCTCTTGCCACCATCTATAGAAAGAGATAATGATTATTACTATGCACCTACAGAATCCACTGGTCAGTCAGACTGGTATCCTATCGCTCAAACAGAGCCTAACGATCAACCACCTAAATTATTGCCGTTGCGTCATCAAAATGCTCCTATACCGATATTTATGCCTAATGACAATCAATCCGGGCTATATGAAATTTACCAGCGCTCCAGAGCAGGAAAAGGGCAAATACGCATACCATCTTTACAACTGGAACCTCCAGCAGAAGATGCTCCCAATGAATTCTTTATTCACGTTCCTTCTAAAGAACTAGAGTTACCGGCTGAAGAAATAGATCAACAATACGTACAGCCCCATGAAGATTATCCAGATTTCAAATTTCGTATCAATGGAGGTGAACATCCAACTATTGCTTCACATTTAACTCCACCAAGACCGGTGATTCGTAAATTTAAAAATCCCACCAAATTATATCCTAAGAAATATCCTGGAACTTTCAAGCCTGTACCTATTCCGATAGCGCAATTTGCTGATGATTTACCGCTAGAAGCACCAAAAGCAAAACCTATTAAGTACTTCAAGCCTTCAGCGGGAATTGAAGGTCCAGCTGTGATACCGACAGATGAGAAGAAGATTTATTTATTCGAACAAGCAGAGGAGAAGCGTAAATTCCAAGAGGAAAATGATGCACACCCGGTAATTGAACAATCTTTATTGTACTTACTTTACAATTAACTTGTTCGTAAAATCTATCAAATTATTTTTCGCTCGGAAAAAAAATTACATGTAATAAAACGTGAACTCAAGTTAACATATCGAAACTTAACTTAATTAAGTCATTCATTTAACTTATCAAATTCAGAACCGTAAAGTAACGAATAGCATAGATTCCACGAAACTAAAGTTGCTTGCTCTCTCAGCATTGACGTTGAATAATTATACTATTCATATTATCCATGTATGCTTAAACAAATAATGTACTCTACTACGTCCTTCCATTACAGGATCAAGACGTGCCAGTGGCGCCCACAAATAATTACGACGTAGTCCCACCCGCAGAACAGGACGTGTCGGAAACGAACTACGGTTACCCCGGACGTATGTAAACAACAACATTATTATGTAAATCTCTCGCCAGTCAACTTTACTAATAAAACTTTACCAAAGAACTACCTACCTAGCTGCAACTAAGTTGAGAAATTTATTAGAGTTACGGATATAGGGTTACATTCAAAAGCACGCACATTAGGTATGACGGGTTAAATAGGAAACGTGGATAGTTTTCCGCCACATTGTCATTTGAGTACTTAGATTAAAACAAAAAGGGTAGATACGGCACTCGCGGCTCAATAGTGATCCGCTTAAATGGTGGTGCATGACCACAATTCGCTTTAGTCACAATTGTACATTCAAATGCGCTACATGTGCACTCAATATAACAATATTGCGTATATTCTGTGTTACCAAGAAAAAACAATGACTTCGATGCTTTTGACAAGAACACAAATAGTTCAAGTTCAAATAACAAATTTCACGGCAACACTTTTCATTTGTAAGCTATATAAACATTTTTTATCAAAAAAATCACGGTTTGTCATGAAGTTACTAGTTAGTACTTTTTCGCCATTTGTTATCAAGCTGTTCAGCCGTTTGTAGAGAAAGAAAAGAAAACGCAGTGGCCAAGCCAAACGACGCGGACTCAGTGTTACCATATCGAACTATGCATAGAATAAAGTTACATATGAAAATGTTACCAAATTGCTTTTATTGTACTTTTAGGCTATGTTTTACTGGTAAAAACATTTATTCTAAAACTTATATGACTTTGAAGATAGCAATTGAATAAAGGTACATGTGATTTTTGTTTCCGAAGAATATAGAGCCAAGAGCACAAGAACCTTTTGGATAGGCAAGAACGCAGCCTGCACGGCTTCAATTTTGTTATAAACTGAGTATTTTAACTAAATGTTTGATTCTATTTTTCATGTTTGATCGATTTTGCCCAATCTTAGCCATATTATCATAATTTGACGCGACTGAAAATATAAATTACGTAAAACAAAGTTATATCTTCACATAATTTGACACGTTCCCCAAGCATAAGGTCTGATATACATATGGAACATAAAGATGTCCGTAGTAAATTGTCACATAATCACATAAGAAACTCTTAAATAACGAAATATAAGCCATAAATGTAGTTTTTTTTAACAATAAATGCGTCATAATTTGCTTCTTAATGCTTTATATGATTAGTAAAAAAATTCAAAAGATACAAAAATACCAATACAAGTTACAGCATATTTTACATTTTACAAACTTAAAATCGCTCTACTGTAAAGTTGTGATTATGCAGAAGTAGCTTTATTATATGGACAGGTCGATATACGGATTTGTCCGTATCTATACAGATTTTTAACCGGATAATAAGAGCATACGGATTTTTTTATGCGGAATTGTCAGGAAGATGCAAACAGTAGTTTAATAATATTTCTAATCCCAATGAAATGATTTTAATAAAACGAAACAAAACAAATTATTTGATCCTGCTTCAACACTAGTGGATTTTATGGTAGATTCAGCGAATTTAGAAAAAATCGGCCAGAAGCACTGGTAATATACAGAATATGGCTCTAGGGAGTCTGCTCGAAATATTGTTCGTCACAATAAATAAAATAAATATTTTCAATAGACATGGGCGTTTTTGGTTTTGAATGCAAACGGATATTTATCGGATTTCAGATTTCAAAATCGATTTTAAAATCCGTTTTTAGATATCCGATTTCAGATGTGCCGAACTAAGCCAATTCACTAGTTTGTGTTATGATTTGGTTTTATTAGCTAACGACAATCACAAACAATTATTGTAGGAAGCAAGGATACTCGTAGATTTCCTTCACGCTTTAAATCTAGGCTTAGGACTAGCAGAAAAGTTATGTTTACGGTTAAGAGTAAAACTTTTGCGGCGCATTTAAAAATCGGCTTATATACAATGATTTCTTTTTACATATTTTGTTAGTATTTTTTTTTGTTTGTTTTTATTATTTTGCAAATCATTTAAACCTTATTACTTCAGGTTAGCGTTGTAAAATGTAAGTTGCTCGACTTTTGATGTTCTTAGGCATCTCTTTTCAGTGATAAATAATCCCGCCTTAGAGAAGCGCAATAGATTTCCGTAAACAGCAAACCGAAAACGGACTTCCGAAAACGAAAGCACGAATTTCGAATCCGATTTACATTTGGATACTATGGTGGTATTAGATCGCTAGCGTTTTGGTTCGGTTAGATTTCTGAAATCGGATTTTCTTGTTGAGAAATCGTTCGGTATCGATTTGTGATTCAAATCGGATTTTGGATTCGTTTTGATATATCGGACGCATGCCTAATTTTCAACACTCACACCAATTAGCCTAGCCCCAAAGTAAGCACTGTAAGGCTTGTTGTTATGGGATGCTAGGGTAACGGATAGAATACATATACTGTACGTATATAAGTATATTTATATAGAAATACATATTAAACATCCATGACCGGAGTACAAATGCTCGTATTCATCACACAAACATCTGCCCCCACCGGGATTCGAACCCTGGACCTCTCGAGTCAACCTCGCGACACCATGAAACCCGGCATACAAACCACTCGGCCACGGAGGACGTCATCGTCACAAGTAAAGAAAGACAAAGGTTTTTTTTTCAAACTTCTTTATTTAAAGGCCTTTACTTTATGTAAAGGATATGCCAGCCCCATCATATCCTAACATTATAAATTACAAAATTATTATAAAACTACGAAGATTCATTGTTGCAAAAAAAAATACGAGTATATAAGGCTCTTGAATATTTCCGACTGCGGATCTGGCAATATCCCTATAGGGAACACGTTTATATTATGTTTTTGCAATAATGACATTATCTTATTGTTATACTTAGTACACTTTTCAAGTATATGCTGAACTTAATCGATCGTACCACTAATTTCACAATTCAGGTGTATCTAATTTTTTCATCAGTAAACCATATTTCCTAGAAAAGCAGCCGAACGCTCTAACTACTTACGCTATCAAGCTCCTATTAATACTAATAAATAATGTCTTTGGTTGGTTATTTCGTATTGAACGTTCGAGAAAGCAACAGTTTAACATACTTTATAGGTTTCTAAGCACGTAGTTATTCAAAATAACTGTTCTTAGTTACCATCTGAACACCGCCCTTTGAGACCATTTGAATAATATCTGCATAAACAGGAATATACAGAACTAGGTATGTAAAAATTTTAAAGTTTCTACTGTACAAACAAGGGGTATTTTTTGTGTGCGAAAATTTCCCTGAATGAAGTAACGGGAAAGACACTAAAATAGATCTTTTACTTTTTAAATTAAGAGATATAGTTATTACACTCGGCTTGAATTCCAAAGGTTGGTCAGAAGGGGTCGTCCATAAGGTTCGCGTAGAGACATTAATCCAACACGTAAAGGCCATTTTGAGCGACATTACTCTATATGTTACTGTTTCTTCCTCCTGGATCTTACCGCTAAATGCACCTAGCCGATACAGAGTGTCGATGCCTAGAATGTGTAACTTTTAGATCTGCAGGTTTGGGATTAACGTAATTTATTATGCCCAAGTCTAGTAAGTCCATTGTGAATTACTAATAAAGTGGTATAGGATGGATCTGACTTAGTTAAATACGTTCTGTGGCGATAGTCTGAAGTTATTGTAAGTGACAATAATAAATCCTGTAGGGGATGTAGGTACTTTATATTAGAATTGATAATCTGATGTATCATGAACTTCGTCATGTCGCGTCCTACTATAAGGCATTATCCATTAAGAAGAACGCGTCATGTCTTACTTTATGGATAATGTCATAAAGTTCTACTTCACGCGACAAGTTTTAAGGACGCGACATGATGAAGTTCATGGTACATTATCATCAGGAAGGAATAGAAATTAAAGACAATTCATTAATGAATTTTATATTGAAAATAAGTAAGTTAGAGTAGGATGTGGCTAAATAATGTGGCATTGAGGTACGGTATGAACATACAATTAGCATGTTTTAGTATTATTAAAAGGTCAAAAAAAAATCAAGTAAGCCTTGTTACAGATAACATTTACCGCCCGCCGCCATCAGCTCCTCTGAGGTACAGACAAGCTCCGCAGCCAGCGCAAGCACCAGCACCCGCGCCTCAGACGCAGCAACAGGGCCCGCCGGCGCCCGATGACCGCACCGAGTTCCGTATGCACGGCATGAAGGGCCCGCACAGTTACCAGTTCGGTTACGACACGGGGAAAGGGTAAGTTAAGTCCCACATCCCCATAATGCAGAACAGGTTTGAGTGGCGATACCACGGTTAATTCGCGTGCTTCCGCCAACGGAATAAAATCCTCACTTCCGGATTACTTGAATGGAGCCTGATAAGGTTTGCAGGATCTCACCCCTTTTCGCCTGCGCCGCAGAGTCATCAGCAGGGAGCACCGGAGCCCGGCAACTCATCATCATCATTTGAAAATAGGATATTTTACTGAATGAAGACAGCATTTTACTTTTAATAATAACTAGAACTGCATTCACAGATTAAAAAAAAATCGCTTGTTACAACTGGGAATAAAATTCGTAAAAATTAAAAAAAAAACATGACGTATTGATGATGACCGTCGAAAGGGCTTATCATACGGATTATTTTTTCCTAAATAACATAACATTTTAAATGAAAGGAAGATCATGAAATTAAAATTTTGTTCAGAAAAATTTTCTCTTACTTTTCTGTGCTTCCGAACAGCTAATGTTATCATTTCAAAGTATTTAGTAACTCGTACCTTCTCACTTAATAACACAGGATTTCCTTACTATTAGTACGTGAAAAATAATAATACAGTGACACTTATACAAACTTAGCACTGTTTCTTTTTTATTGTAGTTTGTATTCAATTATTGAAAAACAGTCAACTGTCGTGATTTTTCTTTCATTTATAATGCTATGTTATTAAGTAAAAAACAATCCTCATGATTTACCCTTTCGACGGTTACCATAAAATACATGTTTTTTTGTTTCACATTTCACGAGTTAAATTCCCGGTTTTGGCAATCGATTTTTTTAAAAGTGTAAATGCAATTCAACTTATCATTAGGTACTCGGGTCACTTCTAATCCGAGTACCATAATCATAATAACCAAAATCAAAATCATTCATTCAGTTTAGGCTGTTACAAGTACTCATGAATGTCTAGAAGCTACGCCATCGGTTCGTAAATCTACGGCGGGAGACCTTGTACTGAGAAGAACCGGCAAGAAACTCAGCAAGGGCTGTTTTATTATTTACAGAGTCGTCAGGTTGAAAAACGGCTCCAGAAATGCTTCATGAAGTCACCTTTCATTAAATTACATATCGAAATCGATTCATTCGTGCGATTTTATAACTAATTTTATAGTAGCTCAATCGTCATTGGCTCCGGTCGAACTTCTGCGTCTCTACGCACGCTCATGCCCGAGCGCTCATTAATATTTGTCGTAAAACAAAAATTTAACCACTTTATTTTATGGAATCCTATTCGTCCGTATCCGTTAGCTTTAAAAATCTGCATTTTCAACTAAAATTATTACGGATCCCCATTTTTTTGTAAGGTGGAGGAAACTTCCACTGACGGGCGCTCCATTTAGTACGGGGCTCTATTTCCGCTTATGGGATATGGTGCTAAGCTATATATATGAATATCTTGCCAATAATATGTTACATTTCAGAAAAAACCGCCAGTTTCGTTATGAAGAGCGCGACAATGACGGCCTAGTGCGTGGTCATTACGGCTACATGGACAAGCATGGTAAAATGCGTGTGGTCAACTATCGTGCCCATCCCGAGTACGGCTTCCAGGCAGAGCCACAAGAAGAACCACAGGCTGAGCCAAAGGTTGAACTACAGGAACAGGACAAAGAGCATTGATATCAAAAAAAATCTACAATAATGTACCAAAAAGCACCAAAAGTTGTACTGTAGCTCTTCAGGAGCTGCTTCGTATTATTTTCATTTGATACATTCACAAATTTCCAAAAATATATTCCCTTTGCTCTTCCCAATTTGATACGTTTCGTTTTTATCTGGTACAAGAAATTACATCTTTTATTATATACGCCGCCACCGTTCTGAATGTTACTGAGAATTGCAAATTGATTTTTGACTAATAAACAAGTATAAAATTTACTTCAATAATTTATTCAGAGAAAATGAAAATTCAATATTGAAATGTTTAACGGGGTTAATTGGTTGAAAGGTCTTTGCACAATATTCTCCAAACACAGCCATTGCTTAATCTCTCTCAGTACCTTAAGACTTCTTGGGAAGTTAGGAATGGTTCTATATTTTAGGAAAGTAAAACCAAATGCAATAAAATTCATGGCATTTTGTACTTTAATATCTATTTGTTGAAATGAAAACTATGATATTGATACTTACAATAATGAAGTAAAAATCTATCGTCTCCTAGCCAAAATATTAGCAGGTATTGCAACGTGTTTTATAATTAGAGTATTGACTTTAAATTACAATCTATATCTATTACAATCTCTCTAGATTTGAGTAGGCTATTTTAACAGGTTTGTTCCTTTTAATTTCCATTCATATAAAATATCTATTGTAGTCACTGATTTGCAGTACAAAATAAGCTTAGCACATTAGGATGCTTCATTTTGTTAGGCAAAAAAGTATTTTTTTGCCGATATTGCTCGACCCCCGAGACTCAATGATATAAAACTTATCCATGCCGAATTTCAAGAAGATAGGATATCATTTAGAGGTTACACAGATTGATAATTTTTGAATAAAATAACAGAATGAGGAAATTTTTAATTCTTCTTACAGTTTTTAAAAAGACTACATAAAACAGATATTAAATTAAATTTAAATATAAATTAAAATAAAAGGGCATTACAGTCGTGCTATAATAACCAACTTTGTACCATACAATTTCGCCGTGAATTTTTCGATATTTTAATAGTTATTCAGTTTTTCGGGACGGAGACGAACCCAAAAAATCAGAGGTCATTAAAATAGGTCCACCTGTTCTTGAGTTGTAAGTGGTGTAACGAACACGAAATTTGTGTTATATAGATTCTTATTTGTATAGAATATGAGGCAAATCTTTACCAAGAATTAATCGAAGCCTTGCTGTTTCATATTTAATGGCATTGATTTTGTAAATAGAATAATGTGTTAAGATTTTGAGATTTGTCGTCTTTAAATACTTTGGATGAAAGATCTTGAGTTTCGTATTTAGATCTTAAATATTTTGAAAGATAAAACATGATGATAAACATATCTTTTATGGAGTTTAGGATAAGAAAAGTGTGATTGTATAGATATTTTATTTTATTCATAAGTACTGAAAATTAGTAATTCGAATTTTTACATTTTCCAAATATTAAGTATTATTGGGGGATATAATGTTGAATAGAAATTTTTAAATATTGTTTTTATTACGTTGATTTATTTATAAGGGATAAGAAGACGTGTAAATACAGCATAGGATGGTATAGGTGAAACAAGTATTATTACAAGATTTCAGAAAAAAAAACAATTAATGCATTTTGTTATGATTTTTGTCATTAAGAAAACAACAGTTAAGAAACATAGAACATTGTTAAAATTTCATAGTTCTGTTACAATAATTTATATTTTTAATGATACTTGAATGGTTATATATAAACACAAAATAATTGTTAATTAGTATTATTATAAGTGTCATATTAAGTACGATAAGGCGTAGTAATTTATATTTTTATAGAATTACTAGTTATTAAAACTTTTTATTACAAATCACGTTTTTTATTTTCAACATATATTACATTAAAACATTGAGATATAGATTGTAATATTTAATACAATTCATAAAAAAATACGAGCGTGCTTATGACAATCGGGCATATGAAGTCGGGCAGTTTTTAAAATTAGACAGAAGTTATGGAATATATTATTACTTTTTTTATTTTAATTGAAAATCTATTCTGTTTACTTATCCATTTTTATTTAGTATCGATCAAAATGTTTATATCTTAGGTTAATGAAGGATATATAAGGAAAGAGATTGTTTTACTTATAAAACTAAAAACAGTAGCCATTCTGTGAAAAAAAAAATCGAAGAAAAGTCGACCCAAAAAAAGTTATACTTTTTCCAAGTTGTCTCAACGTTAAATCGTAAAAAATACAAAAAAATCTAATTCGCAAACTACGAAAAATCGTAGAACATACATGGGGGTTAAAAAGTTGAAATAAAAAAATAAAATAAGACGAAAAAAGTAAAAAATGAAAACATTTTCTCATTATTTACACTACTTGTTTATAAACAATATTTTTCATTTTATTGTCCGGGGTATATACATATATATAAATTTTTCGAATTTCTTACTCTTGAGCAAGCTACATATAGCTGACTGTGAGAGAAGCAGGATTCATTGAGGTTGATGCCACAATATTTTAAAGTTTGCCCTTGCGCTTTGTTAATTGTATAACTAAAGGCTAATTTAATTGGAAACAGCAATCTTTTAAATTGAAATGGCAATTCAGAGGAGATCAGTGGTATTCTAGGTATCTATATATATAAAACTCAAAGGTGACTGACTGACATAGTGATCTATCAACGCACAGCCCAAACCACTGGACGGATCGGGCTGAAATTTGGCATGCAGGTAGATGTTATGACGTAGGCATCCGCTAAGAAAGGGTTTTGATCAATTCACCCCCAAGGGGATAAAATACCGAAGCGAAGCGAGGGCGGGCCACTAGTAATATATAATACTGTGTGTCCTTTATTTTTTCCAAAAATAAGTTCAGCTACAATGATATTATTTGATAGCTGTTTTACGATCATCCTCGTTCCATTACATAGTTTTGGGGAGTTGAGATTTCTGAGTAGTATGATTGGAGATCCAATTTTCAGCAGAGGCAGAGTAATGGCATTCCTGGTAATCGTAAAGAGTTTAGAAATTCAGTAAGGGAGTTGACACTTTCTTCAATGGAGTGGTGGTAATCGAATTTTTCCATTCATGCAACAGCGACCTGGTGTTTCCTTACGGAATTTTTCCGCGTGGCAAAATTGGCAAATGTTATTCATTTTTCCGATTAAAACATATTTATGTTTGTAATATTTTTTCGTCGGTTCGTAGTGGAATGCTTCCTTTGTTAGATTATCTTTTAAAATTCTCGATTCTTCAATACTTTTATCTTCTCTTTCTTCGCTCTTTCTGCTTCTCAGGGTGCTCATTCTGGTTCGTTGATTTTGTAAACGTGCTTCGTGCTCTTCTTCCGTTTCATTCTTTGATTTTTTTTTGTTTCCGCCGTTTCGCTGCAGAACTGGCAAGATCTCCTCCTCTTTTACGTCTACGCATTGTATTCTGTACGATATAAATTAAATTTATATTTTATAGACAAATATATTGTTACGTAAACGTGGGGTACGTTAAGAAAAAGAAAAAAATATATTTAACCTTCAAGCGGTCCCGCGATAAAGTCTTTACGGCCAAAAGTATATAGAAGGCATCGATTCAACGTCGCGCCACTGCTTGAAGGTTAAGGAAATTACAATTAAAAGAAAAGAAAAAAAAAAATATGCGTGCGTGTACTTAAGTACGCGCGTGAGAAGTTATACTTTTTTTGGAATTATTAAAAAATAGTTTTTAATTGCATGCAGATAATTAATTACAATAAGATAATAAAAGGATTGGAAAAGGATAGTCAACGCAGTCAATCAAGTTCAGTTTTAATTTGAAAAATTTAATAAATAATCAAAATATTCAATTTAAATCACTGCTGGATAAAATTTATTAGCACATATAAATTTCGCATTTGTATAACATTATAACACGTGTTAAGAATATAGAAACATGTGGAATATTATAAATATGAAAACAGTGATCAGAGGCGACGAGCGTCCCAACATGTGCGACTAAGAGATCCTATTACTATTTTGTTGGAAGCTTTTTTTCGAGACTTACGAGTAATGTGCGGTTTAGCGGTCGACTTCATGGTGTTACTTTTCTGTTACTGTATTGCGCGCGCATCTTAAAATTTCACTCTCATCATTTTTTCATAACGCGCCCGCGGCTAACTGCATTATGTTACTTTTGTGTTACAGTGATGCGCGCGCATCTTAAAATTTCACTCTCATAATTTTTTCATAACGCGGCTAAAGAAGTATAACTTCAAAAAAACCATTAGAATTAATTAAACACACTATTAAAAATACTCACATTTGATATTTTACAATAAAGGCTCACAGACATTTTTTTTCTTCTTCGCTTCAAAATTGAGAATTAATTAAACACACAATTAAAAATACTCACACGTGATACTTCAAAATAAAGGCTCACAGATAACTTCTTTCCTTTTCGTTTCGAAATCGCTTGTTTCGCTGTTCAAATAGAACTAACTCTGGCGGGCGACACCGGGCTCTTTTAAATTCAGAGAGCTAGGCTCTAGGATATTCGAGGAAGTTTGAGAATATTTTCTTTCTTACACCTCCTTGAAATTCAAATACTCAACAACAGATGGCGCCACTACACTAAAGAACATTGCTCGTTCCCCATACATTGAATGCCCTAGAACGCCCAGAAATGAGAAAATGCTAGTTGTGTTTGGAATCATTCATAAACTCTAATTAGGCATTTGTTGAGATACGGACAACTTGAGGAACCGTGGCCTACTACAGAATGTATTTGATTTTGAGGTTATAATTATTATACTTAATCGTAAAAGATGTACACTTTATATATTCTGAATAGATTTAGTGTGTACCTCTATGTAAGCACTTAAATAATATGCATTAAATGAACATAAAATGCAATTAATAATAAAAATAATAAATGCTTATATTCATATTGATTAATGAGTGTTGTCAGTTGGCACCTACGATACCTATACCTTACCTGTAGTAATAATAGATTTCTTTTCAAATGAAATGTTCAGTCTTTCCATTTACCTGTTTCTATATTTTACTATCGGTAATTAGGTATGTACCTGGTTATCATTATGATTTTCATAAAAATAAACAGATATTACATGGAATGTAAGTATAAACTATCTTTACATAATTTCAGAAATAATCTTTTTATAAATATAATACTAGTAATAAGTATTATTAACTAAGGTATCTCTATTTTTCTTTTGATAAATACCTATGGTCGCCTCTAATGCATTTATTAAGGTAAACAATCTTGGCACAACTTTTTAACAGAATCACCCATTTAATAATAAAATATTAACGAAGCCAATAAACTATTAAAATCAATCGTTATTATAGACTGAAACCTTTTGAATCCAGTTATCAGTTGATTTTTAATGCTGTTTTTTCAATAAAAAGGAGTGCCAAGTTGGATGAATAGACTGTAGTATCTAGTAACAGAACTTTAATTTTATATTTTTTTAAACAGATTGTCCGTTTACTATGTTTACGGTGACGAATCGCTAAACAATAAAATCTAAAACGGAGCGTTTGCGCCCGCAACCCGCATACACCTCGACACTTTTACTCGGCTCGCGAGTAGCATTCAACCGCGCGCTAGAACAGAAGCGTCTTGGAGTTGCCCTTGTAACTTTTTGATTTTAATTTTTTATCATTTCGTAATTTGAAATGTAGAAGCGTCAAAATCTTGGCGTGTCTAGATTACGAAATAATAAATGATACTAATTTTGAGTTTCATCAATTGGACTCAGTGTGTCTAGTCTTTTGCGCCTAGTTGATAATCAACCCCTTGTGTCGTACAGGTAGATGATCAATCAGAAATTACTTACCTTTTTAACTACGAACTTTTTTCGCCACTGTTTGATTGATTTTGTGTAAGGTCCTTTGTATTTTTTAATACCTATGAGTGAGATTTTGATTGCAAATCAACTTAAGTGCATATAGCTACAAAAATGAAAAACCATAGAGTTACTCAATAACAAAAGTTTAATACATTTAAAATAATGCCACAATAGAGCAAAACATAATTAACACAGAGAATTTTAAATCAAATTAACAAACAATGAACATGATATAACTTGCTGGTTGCTGACCATCAGCTATTGTGATTAGAAAATATAATGTATTACATAACTTGACGACCTCCGTGGCCGTGTGGTTTGTACGCCGGGTTTCATGGCGTCGCCGACTCAAGATCGAATCCCGGGGGCAGATGTTTGTGTGATGAACACGCGCATTTGTACTCCAGTCATGGATATGTATTTCTATATAAATATACTTATATATGTCAAGTATATGTATTCTATCCGTTACCCTAGTATCCCATAACACAAGCTTTATAGTGCTTACTTTGGGGCTAGGCTAATTGGTGTGAGTGTTGGAAATATTTATTTATAACTAGCTTTCCTGCCGCGGCTTCGCCCGCGTGGACTACCCGACGGCGACGGTATCCCGCGGGAATGTGATATATTTTCGGGATAAAAAGTAGCCTATGTTCCTATCCAGTCTAGAAAGTATCTAAATATTTGAATTAGTACAAGTACTAATGTCAGTGTGTGCTCGGAGCTGGGATTTTATCTCCTGAATAATGGGTTCCCAAGCTGGTGGTATATACCAACTATCTTCCCTATTGAAATTTGGATATTTTTTAATCTCAATAGCCTCGCGTATTATTCTAGGAACGAATCGTTGCTCAGTTGCAAGGATCTGTGGTTTATCAAATCTAATGTAATGGTTTGGTCCCCCTAATGCATGTTCACACACTGCAGACTTATTTTCGCGCCTATGTTTCATATCTGTGATATGTTATTTTACCCGAATCCCTATACTCCTCTTTGTTTGTCCGATGTAGG